AGGACGAGAAGGCCATGAAGCAAATGTTTCTCAGAGCTCCCACTAGCTTTTCAAATCAGTTAAACATTACAAACGCCTATCGAAACACTGTCGCCCTCGGAGTCGCGTTCTGTTGGCTGATATTCGGTCATGGATGCATCCCAAAGGTACGTCGGCGCTACGCTAATCGACAACGCATAAACGCTTCTATAGATGTTTCGTACATGATGGCCTCCTGGTCGCGCTCTAACAGCAGATTGGCTCCATTGTTACGGTAGCTATCGCGGCAGTGGATTCGTCGTCAATTGAAATAACGAACGAACGGAACACTGCGGAGTTCGAATTAGAGACGGCTATTTACTATGCGGGTATAAGTTGTTCACACGCGTGGCAAGATGGTCAAAACAGGATCGTGTCATCTTCGTCGGGCTCGAGACAACACTGTTAAACATAGCGATGGACAAACAGGGAAATATTTAAAAGCGAAATGGCCCAGATTGAGTCACTCACACAGCCCTCGATGAATTGCTAAGTGAAACTAACCAATTTTCAGCTGCTCTAAGCCATGTGTTTGTATCTGTGTGGTGCCTGCCAGCGCGCCTAGTTCGCATCGGTAACAGAGTGGGTCATGTCAAGGGGGCGGGCAGTTCAAAGTCAAGAAGTTAAGGGGCCCTTGCTGTAAAATATGAGGAAGGCTTAAGTTTCGAGTTGATCCGCGAAATGAGATATTTGTTTTGATTTTTATATTGTTTGTTAGAGCTAGATCAACTACGGTGTGCAGCTGTGGGTCGCGATGCCGTCGAATCTAGACGGGAGGCATGTGAACTGTGTGTGTTTTAAGGACGTTAAGTTCAACAATAAACACTTATGTAATTATTAATTTCTTACTGAGTTTCTTTTTTTTTTTTTTTTTTTTTTAATATCAATTATTCGAGTCAGGCCAGGGATCGTTTTGTCATCTGCTCTTCTGTCTATTTATTTAGAGGGTGTTTGCCCCGACGTAAAAGAAATTCGAATGTATTCTAAATCAATTGTAATTATCTGTAATTCGAAAAAAGACTCCCGTCTTTAGTAATGCCCCCGTTACGATGTTGCCCAATTCAAATTTGACAAAAAGGGCATTATGAAGACGAAAGTCGCCTTGCACATTATGGGGCACGCATTTGTAACTGTGGCATCACTCAAAGAAAGTGCTACAGCCACTAGTATCAACATTTGCGTAAATCTGGCAGCGTCTACTACTATGCAAAATTATATGAACTACGAGATACCTGGATCTTTCGAGGTATTTAATCAAAAATCCAATATTTTACTATTTTCGACGCCTTTTGGGACGGACATCGCCACCAGCCCACACGCAGCATAAACGCACACATTATTGCACCAGACGCGTTCTCAATCGGACTTCGGTATTGTACAATTGAAATTGTCTGAAATAACTGTCATAGGCCACTTTCTCCCTATATAGATTCTGCACCTGATAAGGCCAAGCCATTCGCTTTTCCAATAGGCTGCATATCCGGAGCACAGAATGTATTTCCTGTAAAGTTTAATTGAGCTCACAGCAAATTCGTGGGTAAATTTAGCCTGAGTTTTCCGTCCAGCATAGCCATTGAGAGCTGCGTTGAATTTCTGTCTATGCTAAATTTAACAGTTAGACGTATTTTCGCAATTCGGTCAGCTAGTAAACAATGACACGAACGCGTTTCTCTATCCCGTAAAGGGTCCATGCAAATGAAAGCGACGCTTGAATTCTAGCATAAAAAGCTTTATCCGCCAAGTCAGACAAATGTCTTGTCGAAAATGCTACACTCTATAGAGGTTACATATAGTCTTTTTCTCTAGGCAATTTTTTTCAGCATTAACCTGTATATTCACACATTGTTCTTAGTGTTTTTTTTCAACTATTTGCTAAGTTCTTAGGCCCTATGGGTACATTGTTCTTAGTGTTTTTTTTCAACTATTTGCTAAGTTCTTAGACCCTATGGGTACGTTGTTCTTAGTGTTTTTTTTCAACTATTTGCTAAGTTCTTAGGCCCTATGGGTACATTGTTCTTAGTGTTTTTTTTCAACTATTTGCTAAGTTCTTAGACCCTATGGGTACGTTGTTCTTAGTGTTTTTTTTCAACTATTTGCTAAGTTCTTAGGCCCTATGGGTACTTGATATAATATATACGTAATCATAGCAATATCAAATAAATGCTGTAAGTCGTATGTGATAGTGAACTTTTCGAGGAACTTGGCAAAGGTTCAACATGACTTCTCGACATCAAACGTTACAACTAACTTTTCCATCGTCAACTTTCCGCCTTACAAATGTTCAGGAATACCGAAATATCAAATGAAGCACCAATAAGTTAAGCGGCCCGAATTTCAATTGATCACCTGAATCGCTTCGTTGGTACTTGCTGTGAAAAGCAAGCTACTGCGGGACGTCATTTCATGATCGAGGAAAATCTATGTATATATATATATATATATATATATATATAGAAATCGCAAAGCACGGTGCACAATGGCACAATTTCTACCAGGAGCTGCCTCCGTCATGGTATCGACGTGACGTGTTTGTCATATTAGGCTTAAAAACACTTAGGTAGGTAGTCAATACCTCGGTTCGAGCTAAGGTTCAGCCCTCTGAAGTAGCGCTGAAGTAAAACTAGACATATTTTCTACTAGAACCCGTTTGGCAACAGTGTAACCTAGACACGAGTAAACGCAGTATTGCCATGTACCAGTATTATGGCGCAAAGTACGTACGTGTTGCTTGTTCGCTAACTGTTACTTAATTCGTCTTTTTACACTCAAGAAACTGAGCGTCCCTAGGATTCCCATACACAATAGATGTGTTTACAGATGCAAACATGCGATAGTGATCTCTTAGCGTATAGACAATAGGTACAGTTGTAACAGGTAGCTACCGTCACCTGCCTAGTCACAGACAATCCTTTAGTCATGTGTCGGGCAGAATGTTAGTGGCTCGCTAATATCGTTCACGTTCATGCTACATGTTATCTGCTCTTGTCATACAATAGCGTGTCGATAAAGTATACAATGTCCATCGAGTTTTTCGTTTCCATAGACCTGCACACGTTGCAGTGATGAAATATCGGCTGACGGTCGCCGACAAAAGTCGTCTGAATCCGTTCCGGATTCCGAGCCTCGAAGGGGAAAGCTATCCACGAGTAGAAAGACGATTACCGCACGTCAGCAGTCCGATACAATACAATGTTTCAAACGACAGTATTAGCCTGCTGGTGTCTCGACAAACGCATCCTGTTTATACAAAGAGCTATGCTATTGTTTTCAATATCCTGGTGCCAGATCTGCTTACAAGTCTGTTCAAGATACAAACAGTACACAGTCAGACGTATCACTACTGAATGAATCCGATACGTATGTTTGGACATGGAAAAATGTATCTTAGCTTGCTCTTTTTTACTCGTCCTCCTCCTCCTCCTCCTCCTCCTCCTACCTCACACGATCCCTCCACTCGCCATATTTACAGTGGATCGGGTTGGGGTTAGCTTCTCTTCGTTCATAGTCGTAGTACTGTGCGAGCATAAAATAACAGAAAAACTAGGTTCACTAGCAGGTGTAAAGCAATAATTTAGAAATCAGGTAGCGAGCTTAAGCTATTCAACAGAAAGAACGTACGAGACGGGTAGACAGTACGATGCGACTATCGAATCATGTCGCTACCGAAACTCGCTCGGCTTTCATCTCGTCTGCGTCTGGACTTCCTGCGCCTTCGACATATTTACTGCGGCACATACTGTAGTCTTAACTCTAGACGGATGATTCTTTCAAGATGAATCAACTGCGGATCCTTCAGGTCCGAAGGAACTTGGTCTGAAAAAGAGTCAGACCGCTTCATCGGTTCCGGTAAGCAAACGCGTTTTCGTACGCTGACATGAACGTGAGTCTTCGAAAAAACGTCGCGCAATCTGCTTCTAGCACACGGACCAGCAAACGCCCTGTAAACGTCTTTGATTTTTCGGCTACGTAGGTTCCGACGAATCGACGCCAATCAGGAGTGGGTGGAGCTGTCTCGCGTCTAAGATCGATGCGAGAGAACTTCTGAATATCTGAAACACAATAGTCTAGTTAATCGGTGTATAGAGTTATATACGTGGATATATGTACGTAGAGTTGGTGAGACTGGATTAGAGGTCCAGCGGGATCGACAAACCCCGAGTCTACACAGCTGCACATCTTGCCGATACTTCTGCTAGCATTTTGATCATAGTACACCCTTTCGATCATGTCGAGTCACCTTTATGCCGACTGCAATGGACAACGCCTAGTGAACTCATCAGCATCGTGGTAACTTTTCAGAAAATTGTTACTGTCTTTCTTGACGATTATCTGTGAACAACTTTGAGTTGATAGCAACGACTGTCAGATTTACACCGTGGCTTGATTGCCTTACTTTGACGTAGCCGGACAGGAAACGGCAGACAACTGCCGCGCTGAATTGCTAATCGTAATGGCCCATGTTTGTCTCTAGGGGTCGACGACTACCATACCAAAGTGAATGAATCCGTTTGGAATTGATAGACATATTTGAAGCCGGCTATCATGGCCATACATCGAAGCAAATCTGTAAAGCCATCCTAGTCTAGAACAATAAGGTCACTGTTATATGAACAAATATAAACGATCCGCGCAACGAGATATTAATAAGAACTTGCTTGATAGCGTACCATATATAGCCTCCGTAGCGATCGCCGGACATCTAATTGCAAGCTACAAAAATGTAAACTTCACTGGTGTGAGGATGCCACCGGAAACCTCTGAGACTTGTCCTCGACCAAAAGTTGTAGGACATCTCTGCAAGATCCATATACCTAGATCAAATCCATAAGCCTATGTCCGGTACTAGAACACTGTGAATTGGGCACAGGCAAATAAATGGTCAGTATACAATGAGTGCACTCTACGAAGCGAGATAAGAATATTATCTGACCTTCACCAAAAAAATAGAAGTTATTTTCTAGTGAAGCAGAAGTTCGCCGACTTCAATTCAATGGAGAACGTTACAGTGTACAAATATGAGCCGCTAATCATTAAAACTATTAATCGTATATTCATTTCTCTCGTTTTATCTGTTTAGTGCGCCTTTAAACTTGTTTCCGTGTATCACAAGTGTTGACAGCAAATGTGTCTCTCAAATTGATTTGGGATTGATCAGATCAATGATGGTAGGAGCGGTCTGTCAAAGTACAGCACAGAAAGAGTTTTAGCTGAACCGCGAATCTTGAAAAGATTTACAGATGTAAGCTCTGATACGTTTCTGTCTTTACTGAGCGGCCGCCTTATGTCTTATTGTTCTCTATTTCAATATACCAAATTAGATGTTAATACGTTCTCTGTAGTTCTCACCCTTGTCAAGGTGGCAGCCCCGAATATCAAGGCTGGTAAAGCGTGACCAAATTTACACAGGTTTGCTCAATGCTATTACTCTGAAGCATGCTATTCAGTGTGAAACGAACTCGGATAAGCTGGCTTCATAAAGATTTACAGTGCCAACACAATACGATGATACAAACGTTTTTCGTCTAATAGCAAGGCACGACTTTCTTTTATTGGCACGATTTCGTTACGCCATATCGAAATAGACTAAATACAGTGGTACGCAATAATCCCTTCGATAGATACGGGGGGATGTATTGTGTATGCTAGGACTATGCGTGCGTACGTAGTACTGCTTGTTTCATTATCCGTTAAATTTGCTTATACTACAATCAACGCAAAATAGAAGGCAACAAGAGCCGTGAACAAATCGTGTATGACCTGTTTAGCTTTCTTTCTGCGCCTTCCAGGACGATCAACAGGTCAGGCGAAACAATCTTGACTAACCTCTTCTCTGTGGTTCCTTAGTTGTTCTCTATGTTCTTCTTCCCAGTGTCAATTCCCTACATGATCTGTAGCCTTGCCAGTCAAGTCTATATCTTTAAAGCGAACTCTCGTTTATATTACAGGTTCCTCAGTGGCCGCTTGGTGGATCCGCGCAGAAGATCTTCGCTTGTCGATTCAGCGTTTGAGGTGCCGAGCAACTGAACTGGGCTCGATCTGGGCCGATCTTCTTCTCACGGTGGTTAGGGAACCATCATCGCATCGCACCAACAGGCCAACGTCGGTTGCTATCGCAGGAGCACAGCACTAGGTCGTGGGTCCTTCGGCCTTCTGCCATAGTCGCGAGATCTGTTTCATCTGGGGCAGCAGCAGCAGTAGCAGAACCAGGTTGTCGTGTAAATACAAACGATTTGCGCCTGTTCGTGTCTGTTTCATGTGAGAGCGCGCCTGCGTAAAAGGGATAGTGTTGTCTCTGCTAGACATATACATATGTATATATATATGTAGTTTCATTTTTGGCAGCAACTACTGCTGAGTAAATGCAGAGAGCAGACAAACGTGTGTACACTCTGCCCAGTCATGACCGTAGCATGATTCGCAGATTTCTGTAGCCCAACAGTACGCAACTGTTTCGTTTTGTGCAGTAAGCCTTCTATGTGTATTCTTACAGACAAATATTCACATAAATGACCTACATAGTACCGTTTATATACAGCAGCATAGAGGGACGCACTGCGCGCTATCATGGGAATTCACCTGTCCTTCCCACACTGTGCCTGAGGCGCACGGTAGCAAGTAGGCGATAGCCCCATCTTACCGATAATTTTTGCCGATCTTTATGCGGCTCGCCCCTGCAAATAGAAGCTCAGTCCCGTAGTCTCTCTATCCTATCATTAAGTAAGAAAGAAAGTAACGACAGTTCGCTGACTATTGCCAAGTTGATATTTAGACAAGTAGCGAAGCTAACGCCGACAAAGTGATTAGGCCGAGTAGAGTAACAGGGGTCGCTTTATCGATCGAGGAATAGTCCTTCGTGTATTTGTTGATTAGCTGTCTGTGCTGACAAATCACGCCCTGCCAAATGCTATTGTCATCTCGGTGAGAGATCGACATCTTTGACAACGGTAAAATGATAGAAGAAGCCCTTAAAGAACGTTCACACGACGCTATAAGCAAGAAATGTTCCCGTAGTCCCATGTTGGGCGAAGCAAGCAAATCTTCCGTAATACACACACTTTAAATGGGGCATTATGTAAATCCACTGAGTTTGATTTCAGTCCAATGAAACAACATTCTGAACACTATATTTATTTCGCATGCATTTGCCCATGTTTCATTACCTATATATGCTGTGTAACTACACGTTTTGATGTGGACTCCGAGTTTCAAGGGAGACACTCCGTGACCTAGAATAGTGCGTCGATAATTAAAAGAAATCAATGGTTCTTAAATGAAAACATGCGCCCCACTAAGGAGCATTGTGCCTCAAATGAGCGTGCCCTAGCGCTACTTTCGACTGTGATATCTAGAACCGTGCTCTGTATTGCATCAGACGCTTGTCGCGCAAGTTACCGCTGCACCATTACGGAGCACACTTACTTTCTCCTTGGCCGATCGCCAGCTCACGATATAGCTGAGCCTCTGATTAGTTCACTTAGCTTTGAAAATGCAATAAAACGTAAATACGAAGCTTGCGTTAAAAATAGAAAAGATGCTACGACTTCTATGAATGAGTGTCGCTTCGTTTCGACATAATCTTTTAAACATACGCATCTCTAGTATTTACGAGAACGTTTTATCAAGAAACTTATAATCAGATTCTTGGCTCTTTTGGTAAATAGATCTCCTACATACTTTTCGATGATGACAATTATCTAAATCACTTCGTCATACTGTGCAGGTGTGAAACAAATGCAAGTAGGTCCCTACCGTATGCGTTGACAGAATCATTTCGCATTGAAGATAAGCGCTTTGTTCGCTACGTAGGTTTTTTCGTCCGTTGCGAAAGATAAGCTAAATACCGTAGCCAAACGAAAAACGCAGAGGAATCATTTCTATCTCATGTTTCGTTTGCATTGTGTCGACGCAAAACAATCTAACGTGTTTCCCTCTAAATCAGTCCACTTACTCTGTATTGAATGAAGTTATAGGCGACTCAACGGATGTCGAGCGTACTATATATTAATCTCCCACTACGACCACGTAAGCAGGTGAAGAATAAGCCAAAAAAATATTTACTGTCATCATGACGACAACCTGTTGTTGTTCGTACCCGGCAGAGTTCTCCCTTGAACTTTTCTAGTTCGTGGTTAATATACCCTAGCAGATCCACCAGACTTGCCTGGTCCACGGGCTAAACTGTTCTTTCTCACAAGTAGGCCGGCCGGCCTGCCTGCCAGCCAGCCTACTAAGCTCCTAGCCTCTGGCCTATTCTCCAGGAAAGTGAGCGAAGATAGGCACACGCACACTGTTATTCTGGCACTCAAGATGACAACGATGACATCCTGAGACTGCTATTGGGACTCGGTATCAGCTACTATGGCTTTTACTCAGGCAGACAGATCCGCGTGAATTAGTGCAATGCTGCCAGTTCGGTTCACTCGGCAAGCACAGGGTCTTCCTGCTCTTTGTCCGCATGGCGAAGATCACATCATTACCAACAACCTGTTGGCGTACAGCGGTAGCTTGAACAAGGGTGCACCGTATGCATTCAAAAGACCGAATCAATTGATAGAGCTGTGTGAATAAAATTTCTGTGAAACATGTGATTTGTACAAGGTTTCAGCGTATAACCCGGTAGTGTCTAATTGGTCTAAGACTAGCAAGTAAAGATATACACCAAAATACTAAACATAATAACACCATACGGTATTGAGTACAATAATGCCTCGTACTAAGAATGACGAAGCGTCTTCAAACCAGACGCCGATTGATAGAGTGGAAGACCTCAATTAGCATGCGAAAACCAGAAGCGTTCTTACTAGCGAGTTGTTTAGGTTCCCTTGACTACATAACGTAAGGCTGGCAGATAAAAGAAAGGAGAGTTTAATGAACAGCCGAAAAACAGCTTCCTCTCAGCACTAGACGTATCACCCTCTCGCTAGCGGAACCACCTGTCCTCAATATGAATGGAGGTCTGTTGTACTCTGCTCGTAGCATACTCTATTGTCACTTGGTTTTTACAAAAACACTTTCTGCTGCGGCGTTTCGGACGTTCAGCTGGTGCAACCTGAATCAGCGTCAGCGACTGTTGAATCCTCTAGTTCGCTTTCGGTGACACCGTATTCTTAAATGCTTTGTATAGGGCCAGAGGTTAGGTACCGGCCGCTACTCTCTGCCCAACTGTTCCTGGCACACTCTTCCTGTCGTTCATTTTTTCGTGTTTTCCACGAGTACATGTTTATATATACTTGTACCTATACTCTGCTCTCTATAGATGGCTGGCACGTAGACAAACGTCCTGTTCTAGTCATGTACAAGCGTTCGATAACAAGTGTTATTTACATAGCCTAAAAGAAAGTTTGCATACTTGAAATCGTTAACTATAAAAGATAACTTTTTTTTTCGACTTATCCACTCACTGCTTATCTATGCACCCTTAGTTTCCATCCTTTATGATTTTGTAGCCTTCATAATAATGATAAAGCACTAATAAATGTGTGTTCCCATGGCGCAACGTGTCCTCTGAACGCAGTGTCTTCAGCTTTACGGCCTTAACCTACCTGGACCCAACCCAGCTTAACTTTAAGATACCCGCCAAGAACGGTGCGCCAGCGGAGGCGGAGGCAGCTGTGGTGTTCCCCAAGGCTCGCAACTCGTCGAGCCCCAGTGACTGTCGTCAGCAGCAAGTACGATTACGACCGCGGCCTCAACAACATGGACAATATTGTCGCCATCGTGATCATCACGATCGTCGTTGAGAAAGCAGAAAAGCTGGCGCCGCGCTGACCTCCGAGTGACCGAGGACGGAAAAAGAAGAAGCTAACAGACACCAGTCTCGAAGCAGGCCACGGAAGCTTGGGGAAGGAAGCACCGCAGAAGGACATAGACCAGATGGCGACCGGAAGCACCATCGGGGGCGGTGGTGACACCGACATTCACTGGCTCGGCCAAACCCCCGGGGGCGGGTACTCAGAGTTCAAACATTCAAGAAGTATAACCTAGCCACCGGGTTAGACAACTTATAGTGGACGGTCAGCTCTGAGATGTATATGGACAATGAAAAATACTGCTGCGACTTTTGCTTCGGACAGCAGTTGAAAATCCGGGCGGATCCAAAGCTCGTCAGATTCAATGTTACTGGTCACGAGAAAAAGCAGAAATGATTTTGATTCTACGTACTATATTCTACTGTATCTATTCTTCGAATGTTCATTAGTAGAAACGTCGTTGGTATTTGCGTCAAAACTGTAAAGTGACTAGGATTTTGGTCCAGAAAAAAAAAAGGTGCTCCCGAATGCTTTTTCCCGTAGTTACCCCGTTGTTCGAACCGAGTATTTAGTTAAGCAATTGCATTTTCTAGCAGCGCTATCGCTTAGAAACGATTAGAACGGACATATAACCAGATAACAACTTTATTGAGCCGTGGCATCACAACTAAATAGAGCGTTTTTTGTTACGGTAGCTAAAGGCACACATTACAGCAGAAACTCGAAAATCGAGCAGAATGCGCAAGACGATAACAGCAACGTCCGAACGGACGCTCTTAAGCAAAGAATCTTCGCCCGTTCAGCTAACCGCAAGCCAGTGAAGACATCGTCCGAAGTGTACACGAAAAGAATATAAAATCAATGCTGTTTGTTCTCGATACCTGAATTGGCCCCTTGATATCTGTATTACGCTCAAAACATCAAAAGCGCTCCCTTACGTCTCCCTTGAACTTTCTGCTCTTGGCAATCCGTCACCGGCGGCAATACTAAATTGTGACGATATTCGCACCTCAATGAAAAGCCAACAACTCTATACGAAGTCAACAGGAGCGAAGTCTTGCTCTCTTGTCCCTGAAAAGCCCGCTGATGAGATCGCATACGTTCCATCAACAGGTTATGTTCGATTCGGTAGCGATCGTCATCATCAGAACAGCAACGACAGTATTCCTTACTACGACGACACAGCTATAGAGAGAGAGAGAGAGAGAGAGAGAGAGAGAGAGAGAGAGAGACAAAAAACTGGATGATTGTCTCGGCTTCTTTGCGGGTCGTTCTGAGCGAGATGACAAGCCAGCATATCCACTTTGCTGCGCTAAGCAACATGGCGACACCTCCCTCTCTCTCCCTCCTCCCCCTTCCTCTCTCTCTGTCTCTAAGGTGAAGTTTACCGGGGCGCCACCGCTACCGCCGCAGGAGTCGATACGCCCGGTTGTTAATACAGCTGATTTGATGTGGTCTATAGCTAGAATAGTAGACTTCGTGGCCGCTGTAAGACTGTAGCCAGTCTCAGCAACGTCGCCGCCATGGAGCTGTGGAATACAACAAATTCATAGGCTAGATGTCGAAAGCTCCCGAGGCGTCAATAAACACCGACACTAGCAAGAGAACTTTTGTTATCTTGTGCACACCGACAACTTTGGGTATCGTTCCACCGACGAACACATCGGTTCGATACCATATCGGCCAGCAACTGACAACGGAAATGTCAGGCGATGGCCCGCTAAATAGCTTTTTTTTTTTCGCAGGAGTAATACATTTGCGTATAAGCATAAAATGACAAAAGGATACTTGGTTACGTCCGCAGCTTAGGGACATGTCTAAGTGCGGCTAAGAATAGTCTTTCCACTCAGTTCAACGCGGCTTTGATTAATCGAACTGCTACTGCCCTCTGTCCTATCTACTTTACGTATAGGAGCGCTGCAGCCAGGTCAAACGAGGCCGGCCAGTGTCGAGCGCAGATCAGAAATAATGATCATAATAATAAGATATCATTAAAATGGTTGCTTTCTTAGAGTTCTCCTCATTCCGGGACTGTACCTACATCTACGTAACCGCTCTGTCCTGCTCCCTATCTCGCAATTTAATGCCTAACTCGTGAACGATGTAGCATAACAACATTAAGGCGATCCAATTTCAAGCCAATTGAATGTCCACCTCCCACTAGCGATCTCCTATGGCGATACAACACGTCCGTACCCGCACCGACATATACGCAGTCAGCCTCTGACTCTCTATGGATCTTGTTGAGGTATCTGTCCAATTCTGAATGATTCGGATAGCATCGATCTGGGATCGGATTTGCTAGCCCATTAAGGGCACTCACTTGGATTCCAACGGACGTCGAAAGACACCGATTGACTGCATTTTGCCCAACTCATCTAACTATTACGTTGCTATAGTTTCGACACAATTTCAGCAACGTCCTCTTCTTAATGGCGTTAATCAATTTAGGTCGCTGGTAGCATGAGCTCTTCCCTGCTATCGTGTGCGACCTTCCTAGCTTTCCATTTCTATGCACGAACGTTTACTTATGTACGCGTTTCTGCCTCGAGAAGGAGATGTTACAAGGTATGTTATTAGAAGCCATATCAAGCTCTGCCCACTCGTTAACTTCTCGCATTTCGTTTGCCCAATACCGTTTCTGCCGGCAGGGCAGATAGAAAGCTACATTCAAGTACGTTTGCCGTTTCTATATTCCAACATCAACAGGAGATTAGCAACAGCAGACGCGGGTGACCCAGCAAACAAGCACGTTTTGCTACAGAGTGAACCTTACAGCTAACTATCGACAACAGAGAGTGCTAGTGATGGCGAAGTCCTTTGAAGAAGGTACCGAAGCTACAGACGAAGCGCAAGCTGAGGATACTATCCCTCCCATCTATCAGTTACTGATTCCCTTCATCCACTGAAAATCGAGCTGCACTCCAGCCGCTGCTGGCAGGCTCGCCATTTTGGCGTTATGTCGTTTCGAAAATTGGACGAGCTGAGAAATTAGCCCAAATTGGTTATTTCACCCACACGACGCTTGAAACGGTGCTTCGATGCCCCTCGCTCCCAATCGTAAGCTACTTCTGCTTTTCAGAAGACTACAGACAATGGAGTTCTTCGAAGTTCCACTACGTCAGAGCTTTATCGCTGGTTCACTTCACTCGGTCGTCTTTTGACATAATCATAGCCTTAGGGAACTCTGCCCAGTTAATAGTGAATGCGTAAGATCGTAACGGTATCGCTGATATTCGAACAAACCAGTGAAATCTCCGTCGTCTTTTGCGCCTATCGACTCGTTCTCGGGTATCGACTTCGTTGATCTCTTGCAGATTAGTCGACATACATGCTGTCCTTCCGCGAAAGTCTTCGATAGGGGTCATCAATGATTCAGTAGACAATATTCGGTAAAGCACGTATGCGAAGGCAGACTGCCCGTTCGCACGCACACAGCGGAGAACAATTCGGTTCACCTACGGACTATTACGTGGACGTTTCAGGTGTTTAGGTTTTGACCTGGCTGCTACCAGCGACAACCAGCGCGCAACTAGCTTGTCGTAGGCGCGCGTTGCACCTGTACATGCTTGTCTGAGATTGGCCAGCAGCCCAAGCTTCGAGCAAGCATTTCTAGCAGACACTTACGCTATATACGAGTTAACGTGAGCATATATGAAAATATATCTATGTAGATCGTTATAACTATGTATGGAATGTCGTCCTTGTTCGGGCGTTGTCCTCCTAGGACCTTAGAATTATTCTGTTATTCTGCGTATTTCGTCAACCTTGTGGTGCTTGACAGCTCACGCATAGTTTCGCAAGCCTCTTCTCTACTTATGGCCGTAATAAACGAGCGATGCATATTCATATATGTGTGTAAGCTTTACGTAAACATGATATCATTCTAAATGCCAGACTCGTGCAGGATGGCGTGCGTATCAACCGTTTGCCTAGATACGTATATGCTAGGTCGAGTCAGCATTCACGATCGTGGCTAGCGATTCGGTCGACCCTTATGGACGTTAATGACGGCTGCCGAAGTAAGCGAATAAAATATATGGCTCTGCCGATTTGTCTCAGTCGAAACATGGAGGAGAATGCAGCCATTCGTTGTCTCCACAGAATGACTTGCTTCGGTCGCGGACCCTGAGTAGAGGGAACGATGAAAACTAGCCAGAAGGAGCATACTCTCCCTCCAGGCCGTACGGTGCGCAAGGGGACACGGTCGTTCTGCGAAATACTGCGCGAAACGTAGCTAGGTCCAGCTGAATCTCACTAATCTTTTTTATGCTCGCCCTGTTCGTCCATCTAACGGGCCGATGAGTTTATATGTATATAGTATACGATATTGTCTGTTGACGCAACGCGGTCACGAACAAATGAGTACAGGTGTATCCAAGAAACCAGATTCAGGAAAACGCGCCTAATGATACGCGCGAACACAAGCGTACGGTTTTATCATTTACTAGCTATCTAGCCATTTATAGCAAATTTATTAATATGAAATGAGCAGAAGATCAAGATCGGTGGTAGTCGGAGGCTTCGAGAACTAATTCAAGCGCGATCGATGATAATTCATCTTTAGATCGTAGATGCCTTTGTCTTTTTCGGCTACAATGCATACACTTTCAACATCTATTATTTCTTCATCTGTATAATAGATGTATGATAAAACAAGAGATTACACATGATCCCAAATCCAGCTTAGCCTTTTTCAAATTTTTGCTTAAGATCTCTAGCCCACGTACATCCCTTCGAAGTCTGGCCTAAATTGTGTCGAACGAATCAATCAGGAAGATTTTGCCAGTCTGATGCTGGAAGTACCAGATTTACCAAGTGCAATTCTCTTCGAGCAATATGTTATCGAGAATTCGAGTTGGAGAAGGAAGGCCGCAACGACCTGTCTCGATTGCAGCTCGCGTCAGTATGGCGACCTTAGAACGTAACGCAGCGGTCTACCAATTGCCTATTTCCTGTCCCTCATGTCAACTCAGTCTACACTTCGTTACCTTTCAAGTGAGATCGTAACGGTATCAGTCCCTTCGCCCTTTCACGGACCTTCTTTTTTGGTGGCCAACGTCGCCGCATTCATCGACCTCTCGACCTTGACCGGGAACGACTGGAATGCATCGATACACCTAGAGCGTCAGGCTCAGGCCAACGTACCCACTAAATCAAATCAACGCATGGACGATACGTACATAACAGCAACGAAAGCAGCATTGGCACATATATCAAAATGGTGCCATATGAAAGTGCCGAGAGGTGACAGCTAGACCGAGCGGCAACGAAGTGGGCAGACACATGTGAGGACTCGTTTTTGCCCGCCCAGGTCGTCTCTTCACTGTCTCTTTCTCTATACGAAGCTGGAATGGGGATTAAGGAATACGCCCTATGCTAATGGTATGTAACAGCAACAAACGAACCTACCTCGAGTTTAGGTTAGTTTAAAAGTGGACATTCATAAATGCTATGTCGTACGACAAATGCGGACAGGAACAGCACCATGGTGGCCACGTGTGCTGGCGAGGTAAGTCTCGTCAGGACGTTATCTGCCGTTGTCGGGGGCGCGGTCAATGTGCTACATGGTGACTGCGGAATGCCCCAGGGGTTAGGAATGCTCGCTATGTGGATGATTAGTTATTGACCTGTTGGCGAACTGAAGGGGGAGGGGCGAAACAAGCGCAATTTGATGTTGATTCAGAAGAACATCACGCTGGTGCAGACGATTTTCGATGTCGCTGAGCGCCATGTTTACTTTTAATCTGCGTGTAGTGAGATCACTCGGTTGTTGACGTCTCCGGACGATGAAGACTGTCCACTTAGATATCACCTATGAAGACGCTTTTACATGCGGCAGTTAGAGATTTGGCTATTATTATCTTCTCAGACAGTCAGTTCAGTTTAGCTTTCTCATGGTGAAGTTGAGAACACATCGTAGGCAGATGCAACGTAGGACGACCTATAGTAATCAAAAACTGCATAACAACAAATTTCACGTTTTGTACGCTTCATAATGAGACTAATGTTCTCAATGAATCAGTCATTAACGAGGAATATTACATCATAGGTCTAGACTCTGGCGATCATAACCTGGGCGAAGCCATTGTGACGTCCTAAACCTTTCGATAACAATACGATG